TTTTCAGTGAGACCTGCTCGGCCCCTGACTTATTGGCAGCATTTTGAAGAAACCACTTTCTGCTGCTACATAATTCAGAGGAAATTATTTTGATCATTTAAAAAAAAAAAAGAAGCTTTTTGTTCTAACGGTGTAACAAAAACACGGGCTGGCAAAGTAACTGTCTACAAGTCATTGATGGAGTTGCACGGTAACATTGATGCGCTGTAGGTAGACGATCTTACGGGGAGAGTCTTGTTTTAACCCTTTGTGACATCGGGAGTTGATTGTCAATGTTAGTATTGGAGAGGACCGATGGCTCCGATGAGAAAACCCCGCCGCGCATCTCTGCACCAAGCACTGATTCTGTCTGACTTGAAGATCATTTTCACACAATATGTTGTGGATCTTCAAACTTGTCCTTGTCGAATTTGTTTTCACTCTCACCCCAGCTGTTGCTCTACAGCCGCCGGATCACTTGTTAATTAGATTTTATTCACCAATTGAGTTTCCTCGAGACGGCAAAGTTTTAACACTTTACAACAAATCTCCCCACAATGCATCTCTTCCTTTCTCTCTTCTCATCACCACATCTCTCTTTCCCTTCACCGTCCGACTCCTACGCCACAGCGGCTCCACTGCGCCACACATTAACATTTCAGAGAGCACACACACACACTGCAGCACAGATGGGTTGCATGGTCTCTTTCCGACAGATGAATAGGCAAATGTTTACCTTCCCAGATTGTCTTTCTTCCACTCTCGATCCTTCCATTCCTCCACCCAACTCCTTCCTCTGTACACCTCCATGCCACATTCATCTTTTTTTCCATTGCTGTCGTTTTTCAGCGTTCGTCTGTCCCAACGGTCTTGCCTTCATCTTACCGCGGGGGCCGCTCACAGGCATCTGGTTTGCAAACACGCTTGCATACACATGCACATATTTTGAATATATGGTGAAGAGGATGGCTGTGTTTACATGGGAAGTCATATGCACATGCATGCACGTATGGCGGGCCTCGGCAAACAAAGAGTTGATAATAATTGTGCTGAAGACAATGGCGCGTTTTATGAAGCTTAATTCAACCAATTGAGGCAGATGGGGGACTGACTGTGTGCTTATCTTGAGTTTTAATTAAAAGACTTTAGTCTCTTACGAACACATTCTCCCTGTCTCAATGCTAACTCAGACTGGAAGTGCATTAAGGCTAATGGAGGCGTCTGTCTTAAGGGATGTGCTTCAATGGGGCAGGAGGAGAAATTACATGAACAAAGCACACACACACTTATTTTCCTGCCCGATTATCTCTATAAATTAGGGAGTTCAGGGTTCGTATTGTCTTTCTACTCTGAAGTAGCAACAGGAAGCGCAGCGCTAGTCATGAGGCTAGTGACTGACTGCTAGCTTTTGATAAAATGGGTCCATCCTCCTCCTCTCGCTCATCATAGAGGTGTATATACATATTCACCGGACATTAGTTTACATTCCATTAAAACACAAGTCATAGTCTCTCAGACATTGTTAAACAGAGAACTACATGTAGCTTCTATAAACAGACATTTAAGAAAAGCAATGAAGGTGATTAACATTGGAGGATTTCCTTTATATTCTTCATTTAACTGCTGCCTGTTATAAAATGTCAAGCTACATTTTCTCATACATTCCTTTTTATCACCATTCTGAACATTTTCTTGTTCTTTTTTGACTTGATTGAACTTGGCACACTGTGATGCCCGTGTCTTGTTCTTCGTCTTTATCTAACTGTGCGTATATCAGTCTATGCATTGAGCCCTACTCTTGGGATGCTCTCTGCATCTTACAGGATGTAACACCACTGTCGTCTTTTGATAAAGAATACTCTCTCTGATATCTTTCTTTGTCAATACTAATTATTGTTAACTCTTTCTCCAGGCCTGACATACCAGACACCATCTCATCTGACAGATACTGGCTGTAAATCTTCTTTTCACACAACAAAGAGTCCAGTCTTGCTCTGTCAGTGTTTTTTCTTACTTTGCATCTGCATTCTCTGCCGTTCCCCGTTTATTGGTTAGATCACTAATTTCTCTTTTTTAAAACGTGTTTATTTTCAGATATGTCCTGGTTTACTGTGACAATGCCCCAAATACAGTTAGTGTGCTGTATTTATACAGGTATTTGGATATATTGCATCTTAAATTTTGCATGTGATGGATGGAAACATAAAACTGATGACAAATCTCATTGGCCATTAAAATGTTGAGTACTTTGTGACAAAAGTTCATTCCAAGTTAGACTTGTTTTTCAGTCTTTAGGCTTCAAGAAGAGCCCGACTCCGGCTTCGGTTTAATTAAAAGCAAGTTGAGCTAACACCTCATCTGTCGTCTTTCTCGTCTTTCTCCTTTTCTGTCCCTGTTTCTTTGCCTCTCCGTGTTTCTCATACACTCTGTTTTTGAAAGGTGAACATAACAAGATACATTTCTCCTCTCTCCTTTTAACAAGGAGAATATCAGTGTGGTTCTTGTTCATTAGTATCACACATCACACCTCCATCACCCTTAGATCTGGGAGAGACAGAGGTGTCAAAATGACGGTGTGTGTGCGTGAATGTTTTTTTTCTCCCTTTAGCCTCCACCCCAAGAATATCCCCAAAAGCCAATTCACACCAGTCTCTCTCTCTGCCTTTTCTCTCAGTATTCTATCTCCATGTGTTACTTTGCACCCCTGGCCTGAATTGTACTTTTTTTTTCCCAGTAATGGTGTACATTTTCTTAGTACTGCTGCAAGAATGAATAGGACACACTGGCTACTTACAGTATACCTCATCACCACTACTACCACCAAAGGGCCACTGCAAATTGGATATGTCGGCCCTGGGGAGATGCAGCAGACGGTTATCTATTGAGGCTAGAAAGAAATGTGCTTGTTTGTTGACATTGCTAATTTTATTTACTTTCCCTCCTGCTGTAGTTATTAAATGGCTTGGGGGAGTCTATTAATGTTTTAAACTCCTGCGACAAGAACATTTAATAGCAATAAATATGGTGAGTTTATTCAAACTTTCCTTTAATCCCTGTAGGAGAAGAATGTTTATGTGATTGGATCCCATAGCCTGCGCACATTCCCTCTAATGTGGCTTCTGGACTTCCGCACACTTTCTGAATGTTACCTGCTGATGACCATAATGTGGGTATACATCGACACAGTAGGGAACGAGTCGTATCTTTCCATTCTCAGGCCGTTTAACTTGATTAATTATGGTAGAAAGCCTACAGGCTGTCCTTTGTTTACCTAACAAAGTAAAGGATTAAAACATTTTGTGTTCGATTCTCACAGGGTTTAGAACCACTGCTTGGGGGGCATTCAAGAAGTCAATTTTAATCACAAATAGAAAAGTATTCATGTATTTGTCGATTTAACCATTCAATGCACAGATTTTAGTCTTTGATTTATTTCCTTTTACTTTTCCATAGAGTAATTGTCAGGCAGATCGTAGAGGTCAAGGATGCCTCTGCCTGCAGGCCGATGGTTAATGTTAATGACCGTAAGCCAATTGGATCTCATCAATAGGTCAGAGGTTATCATCGGGGTGCATATGCAGGAAGTTAATGTAATTAAAAATGCATCATGTGTTCGATTGCTGAGAAAACGTCTTTTCCACTCTTTTCTTAATGTCTTTGTCGAGCTGTCTTTGTCGGGCGTGTGTGTGCGTGTGCGTGTGTGTGTGTGTGTGTTTGTTGTCTTAATGTCTTACAGTTCTCCACGAGAGATAGATTCTTCATATTCATACTTTTCATTCCATTGCTGTTTTTGATTTGTGGAAGTAGGATCATATACAGTTAAGGAATTGCAACATCGGAGGTGAGATGCTTGTTTAAGAATCCGAGAAGAGGAGAGAAGTAGTGCCAAGAAGAAAGATACAAATTAAAGTTTATAGAAAAAAAGCAAGCCCGAATCACTGGTGAATGATACTTAACTCGGTCACTCTGGTCTTTCTCTTCCATTCTATCCAAAGGTCTTTCAATGGAAATCTGTTCAGTTGTTCTCTTACTAATGACATCATGGCTTCCTGTAGCGGACACTTTGCCCTATAACGCACTACATTAAGAGGCTCCAGTGCCTCCTGTTCCACTTCATCTAGATATCTCATAGAAAGCCGGTTATCAATGGCTTGGTCGGCTTCTTTTGAGAATATTTTCAAAATATTTCTGCATTGGTTATTATTCCCTCAAAAAACAGTCAATTGGAGTGCCAGCTTGTCACAAATAATTTGAATTTAGAATAATGTTGTGTCCTTCAAAAATGGTCATATTGCTAAATTATCTCTTTATGGTAATTTGCAGCTACTTAAGCAATCAGAGATTATGTTTAATGCTTTTGTGAACAGGCATACTCATTGAAATTTTATTCCGACGTGTCAAAACAGCATGCGTTTTCTATGTACGCTCGAGATAAATGGTTTTCTGACAGACCTCCATCATTTAGTCTTGGAGCAATTTTGCAAGCCATCCAGCTGCTGTCAATTCAAACAATACATAGAACCAATCAATATATTTATTCCAACACCCCACTGGCTACGATGAATCCAATGTACCAGTGGTTCAATTATCAATAGCTTATGATTGGTAGCAAAGGTTGCTAATCAGGGTATGATTGGCTAAATGAGTCCATGGGGAAAGGCAAGTATCAACAGTGGGAAAATACTTACTGAGCAGTAATTTTAGATAATTGATCAAACAGTAATTGGAGGTTGATGTTTTGTTACAGTGATAGCGTCACATAACGCAGTCACGAAACTTTACAGGTGTGTAATTGAGAACGAAATAAGGGCTGAGTAGTGGGGTAGGTAGGGAAGGGGCTGGTCAGATCCAATCGCAAGATGGTCTCTAGTATTGTTTTAACTTTGATCTAGAGAAGGATCATACTGATCATACAAGGGTAATCTTGCTATTTCGTTGAAACACCAGAAGTTAAGCAGAAGTTTTCACCAGTTGTTTTACATGGCTTGATAAAATGCTCTCTCTCTCTGTTACTTCTTCAGGGTCCCAGGTGTAACCATTGCTACAGATTTAATCTGCGGTTTTCCCGGTGAGACGGAGAAAGACTTCCAGGAGACGGTAGACCTGGTGAACCTCTATCGATTCCCGAGTCTCTTCATCAACCAGTTCTACTCCAGACCCGGAACACCTGCTGCCAAGATGGAGCAAGTACCAGCACATGTGGTGAGTGTAGACAAGGACACGGAAGCAGCTTCACTACTATTCATCTGACAAATAGGATTTGGGCTAAATTTAGCTGACAATTTATAAAATTTACAGAGATGTGATCGTCATGATGTGGCCACAAAGGTAGCACACGATGGATGTTTTCCATTTTTTCTATACTATGATTTTTGATTACTTTCTTCCCCAGTGGCTTTATGTGGTCTGCTTTAGCTCACCGGGTAGAGTCTGAGCCATTAGCAAATGTAACTTTTCAGAACTTTTTATGACTCATCTACATACTATACTTAGATTTTTTTTATAATTAGTTTTTTTCACACAGCAGCTATCCTCTTTTCCATGGACAGCAGTTTTGTGTTCACACAAAACAATTATAGTCTCATGAAGCCATGATTGTTTGAAAGGTGAGTGTGAAAAGAGACGCACATATTAAACACATCACCATCAGCACTTCCAGCGTTTTCTTGAACTTTTCCTCATAGGTTTATCAGCTACATCTTTGTTTGGTGGAGCCACTTCCATCTGTAACATATGAGTAGAGTGTAAATAAAAAGTAATGTTGGTTATGAACTTGGATATTTCTATAGCACCTTCAGTGTTACTTATACTTTCTGCTCAATATATTGATGATGCTCATCTATTACCATGTATTAATGCGCAAGACATATTTTGGTCAGCTTAAGTTCCGCTCCTTGTTTATTTAATACAGCTACAAAAGGCAGAAAGAAACACTGCTTAGGCTCATTCATAGTTGCTTACTTAGATCATTACCTTGATAGACAGCATGCATGCGTTCTGATCCTGAAATGTTTTCTTTTACCTTTTTTCTGTCGTTTGAACCACATCATTATGCTATACAATATACCATATGTTCTATCTCCTCGTGTATTTGCGCTCTCTCATTCTTTACCATGAAAGTACTGACACATCTCTTTCAAGTGGAACGTCTTCATAAGTCATTCTCTTTTTCTCCTGTCTCTTCATTCTCCGAGGAGAAGCTGAGTGAGTCTGAGGGGGATCAGTCCCTGGACAACTACATCACTGCTTCTCTTCTTCTTACAGTTTTTCCCCCACACACATCCATCCTTTATTCCAAAAGCAGCTCTTTGATTGTCAGAATGTAGCATGTTGCTTGTTCCTGTTGAAATATATGATTGCCAAATCAGCCTTTTTGTTCATATGTAATAATTTTGATAGCTAGTTTATTTAAGTATGAATCACAACAATCTTTAACAATTGTATTTTTGTATTTTTCTTTGCCTAAAACAAGAGCACACATCACATTTTGATCCTGCATTTCCACTGGTCACGTTTATGTTTAAATGTAAGTTAATTGTGAGTATATTTGTGCTCGACAGGGAAAAGTAAAAGGTGAAAGAGAGAGTGTCCGAATAATATGTTAGGCTCCCCGTAACCAGTACACCTGCTTCGGTGGTTAAAGCTGCCCACAACATCACATCATCAGTCAGCATGCACCTGTTCTTGCACACATATATACACACACAGACCTACAGACAGATACACACACACACAGCAAGTGGTGGCAGCTCGGCGATGTCTAGGCCATGTAGGGTCAGTCATTAATAAATTGCACCAGATGGTTTGTCTGGAACACAACTGTGTTGAAAAGCCACAGGAGGGATGGATGGAGAACTAGATGGAGTAGGAAGCAGAGACAGAAGGAGGCCTGAGAGAGAGATGGAGCGAAGGTAAGGAAGGAGGAAGAATCTGAAAGGGAAAGTGAGAAAGATGGAGGAAACGATGTGAGAGAGAAAGTAACAGCGACAGGGAGATGCCCATTGTGTGACCTAAAGGGGAACAAGCTCCCAGACATTGAATTGGCCACTATGAGTGCTCACCTACTAAATGTAACAGCTGATGTGTGAGGATGTCAGTCTCACCATTTGGCTGTGATGAAGCTGGTGGTCTTTGTCTATGGTTCACACTGATCTTACAAATGTAGAACACTCTGCCCTTTAAAAGCAAGCGCAGATATTTAGGCTTTCTTATCAGTATTGTACGCAGACATGATAGTTTGCCTTTTCCACTATTTGCATCACTATTAATGGAAGGCGAAGCAGATTTTAATTTACATAGATTGCATGAAACACCCTTTTCAGTTATTTAATGTTCCTCAATTTAGTGTACCTCACAGGACAGATGGATCCAGAGTGGTTTTGAACTCATGAGCAAGGTGTAGATCATTGCACCATTGGAACATGTCTAGAGCTGAGCCTTTGGTACGAGGTGCTTAGGCATGTCCATAGGATCAAGTGTTTTGACAACATTCTGTATGATGAGCTGGTTAATGAACTATCAATACACCCCATTTTTCAGAAGACAAAGAGTCACACACTGTCACAAGTATTGGATTGTGTAAGCCTGTGTGTGTGTGTTCAGGGTAATGGGCAGGACTAGATAATGAGAATTGATGTGGTTGGTTTGAGAAAGGTTCACACATATACTGGAAACTAGTTTTGTCATTATTCTGTTGCATTATTGATGTTTTGAATAAACCATTTGTCCAAAGCAATATATCTTTTTCGACATATTATACCAGTCAGCTAGTGTTGCCAAGTTGGTTTTCCTCATCTGGCCGCATATTACTTAAGCACGTAGTTGGCTGTTGACGTAGCGACAACTAATTAATCCAAAGAAGAAGAAAAAACTACTCTATTATTACTAATATTTGATCATTGAACTATTTTGATAATGTTAAAATATATTTAATTTGACTGTTATAAAAACACAAGGATAGATTTGTCTCAGTGAGTCAGTGAGTGAAGCAATGGAACCCCACAGAGCTGGAGCGGGTCCAGCTGCGATGTGGTCCAGGTGTTTGGAGCTATCTGTAGATGTAACTTATTACCTATTATAATAGATGATATATGAGAGAATGGAGGGGAGAGCAGAGGCAGATGGAAAGAATAGGAGACCACAGGGATGGAGGGAGAGAGGGGAGCATGTTGAGAATAAAGGGATGTGAATGCTGTTAGCTTGGATCTCCATGATCATCCCCAGGTGGCTAGAACTTAGCCTTGATAAATGGACTTTGTGAGGTGACGGCGTGTGTGTGTGTGTGTGTGTGTTGGTATGCAAGGAGTGGTTGAGAATGAGCAGCTGCTGGAGCAAAAGGGAGAAAAAAAAGTGATAGAGAAGGATATTAGCTATTCTAGTGGGACAGTGTTTTTAATTTCCCCTGGTTGCAATTGGTTAAGAACTCCATTACCCACAAGGCACCAGTGTGGCAGCTGTCAAAGTGAAACAGCTGGCCAGCCACTAGTAGCTCCATCTCCTACCTTCACGATCATTTATCTAGGCCTGGACACATGCATGCTTTCTCCCCTATCTGTCTCCAACGCAGACACTTACTCTCTCGCATGCGTACCAGGGGAGAGAATAACACTTGACTAAAAGCAGTCTTAACAGGTGAGGTTTCATAGTGCAGGTATTGAGATTTATAAGGAGTGTAGCCACTGCATGGAACTGATTTAGTGACCTGAATATGTGTCGTAATAACATTATGAAATCACAGTAGTCTCTGCTGATAATGAAGAGCATATTTAGGGTAATTCATCTATGTTGAGTGTGACCATAGCTCACACACACACACACACACACACGCATATGACCTTATTCCTGTCTATATTTAGCATATCACATTGCTGGATCTTGGTTCAAAATCAAATAGTATATCTTTCTCTCTATGTACTACCAATTAACAGGATGCCTTGTGTACAGAACATGCAGCAGATGTGACACAGGTCAATATAGCTGGAACATGTTATGTCTAGTGACCTCTGCACACACACATGCACAGCGTCACCCTTGTGACCACGCTCCTTGTGATGCCTTTAGGAAGTATTAACATAGACACAGCCACACACAGATTATGCCAAAGGTTAATCTTGGAGTAATATAGCACGCCCACGCGCCAGGGGTGTAGGCTCTATAGCACCAACATCTGTCTGTCATTAGGGAAAGACAAATGGGCACATGCTGGTGAGCCAGAAGCTTATACAGTGTAGGCTCAGGCAAGATCACTGTTACCTTGCCCCACAACACACACAGGCATACTGACATCCATGAACTTGCTCATGTAGAGAGACACACACACAAACACACACACACTTCTACTGCTCAGTGTCAGAGAATCACATGTTAAGCTTTTTCTCTGAAGTACACAAACATTAAACCAAGAGGAGGACCTTGCTGTGTGTGTTCGCATGCACACACAAAAACAAAAAACACTGTCTTACAAACCTTTGAAGCCTTTGAAACACATTTGAGAGTGTTTGCCGATAACAATCTTGACGCATGCAGCTACAGCATGCTGACATCACACACATAGACATCTTTACTGACTATAACTTCAATCACTTGATAAGTGCATGCACATTTGAGATTATTTTTGGTCTTTGTTGGTCTTTAGTTGCTGGATCATTTTCACTCAATACCTTTTTAAAAAGCTGCCGCTCTGAAGACAAGAAATCGTAGCTCAGTCAGTGTAATTGCACTCAAGAGTTGCACATCTTCCCTCAGAGCTTCACGGCATTGTGTGGATATTTTACAGGAACTAGTTTTATGTTGAGCAGCAGTGTTTTCATGAAGCGCATATATTTTTGAATGTTATCGGCAGCAGAGTGTGTGCTCCTGTCTCCACTGCTCCTGCACGTGTTCGGGGTCGGTGTATGAATAAGTGTAAACATCCATGTAATGTCACTTCCCGTTAGACGCAGCATCCGTCTCTGTGGGCAACAACAGATGGACAGAATGGTAACAACCATCGTTCATCATCACCACGGTGACAGGTCCACGGATACACACACAGTGACTTTGCATTGCCGGGTTGTCTCTAACACAACCCTGATGGCATGCTAGATTAAGTTCTCTGGTTGATGAACCACATTGCATGCACGCTCACAGACACACACTCACCTGTTTACAGACGCTTTATTGTGCAGCACGGTAATAAAGCTCTTAGAATTAAAGATGCGATGGACGAGAAAAGGTAACACTGACTTGCTGAGAGGCGGCGTACCGACATGAACCACTGACGTTTGACAGGGCGGTCTATGTTAAAGCTGGTGATGCAGATACAGATTTCAGGTCTGTAATAGAAGCAGGTTGCAGTTGTATTTTCACATGTTTTCTTTTTGTGTTTCAATCAAGCAGGATTTTTTATTGCAATATTGTATGAAAAGCGATCGGTGTATTGACCAATTATATGTTTCTTTCTTGTCAGAAGAGTATTGGAAAGTAAGGGCATCAATGTAATTATTTGTTTAGTGTAAACTGCTGTAATCCAGGTGGACGATACAAAATGAAGGCACATGCAGAAAAAGTACACATTTCCGTCTCCCCGGTGCGGGATTCTGCAAGTGGCTACCGATTAATTCCACAGGTGCAACTTGTGGTTAGTTTCAGCTCAAGGGCACTCCGGCAACAGCTGTTGTGGGATAATGAGAACGTTTCACTCACTTCCCCTAAGCCATCTTTTTCCATCTAAAATGTCCACCTCCTAACCTCCATGAAAGTGGCAACATCATTTTAAAAAAGCTACACGGCTGTAATGAGAGGTTCATTCCTGTTTCTGGTGGGACTTTAGGAATGGATCTTTCTTTTGTATCTTCTCTGTGATCAGTTTTGTTCTGTCTTTTGTTTTTCCTTTTCTCTTTCAGTTGACTCCTTTCCTTCTGCTTCCATGTTGGCGTTCGAATTACCTTGTATTCCGCATGTTTTCACATCTTTGTCTTTTTCTTCCAGCTTGTGTTTGTGTGAATCAATGTGGGAGCACATGTTGGTATTTGTGCCTGTGGTGTGTGTGTGTTTGTAGGAGTGCTGTGTGTATGTGTGCGTTCTACTGAACTGGATAAAGTCTGCTGGGAGCTCATTGGGGGTTTGAGAAGTCCTTACCTGCGGTTACATCTGTCTTACAGCTACACACACACACACACACGCTCACACTGTTGAGCATCACCGAATACTGAGTGGTGGTGAGAGTGATGAAGGGATGGAAAGAGGAGAGAGAATGGTGTTGAGGAGCAATGATGAGAGAATTGCTCTCACCTCAGGTGCTCCAGGCAGAGAGAGAATGTAGAGGGACAGACTTATAAGAGGGAGGATGGGTGAGGGAGTAGAGACGGAATGATTAGTATGAGTTTCCCCTCACTGGAGAAAAACACGTGCAGCGAGGGAGAGGTTGAGGCCTGAGGGAAAGGTGGAAAGGCAAAGAAAACAAGAGAAGAGAGGATTTTGAGTTTCTGGAGAGCCTTTTGACAGAGAGAGCGAGAGGGAATTGGGTGAAAACAAGAATGAGAGGATGGCAGACAGACAGGGCCAATGATTAAAGGATTGTGTGGATCACGAGAGCCCTGGGTGGACACAGATTCAGTAGGAGAAGGGTATAAATGGAGAGTGTAAAAGGAAAAGAGGCCAAGGAATACACAGATGGAAGGAATAGAGACTAGGACAAGGAGCGATGATAGGTGCAGTGATAAAAGGACGGGCTGCACTAGAGACACAGTCAAAGTGGTAGTTGGCGGAGGGGCAAGGAGTACAATCGCCGCCTTTAAACACTTCTACCCTAATACCTTTATTTCACCTTGCTTCCTTGGACTTTGTTTACTTTGCTGGCCACATCTCCTCTTTTCTACGGCTCCGTTCCCTTTGTTTGCTTCTTTTTGCACCTTATCCTATCCACTCTACCCGTCTCGGGAAGGACATTACCCTGTCACTCTGTCCATCTACCTCAACTTGACCACACACCCCTGAATATAAATAGATTTCTCTTCCGTCTCCGCATCCATCCCTCTCTGCTCCACATCCTCAAGCTGCATTTGACTGTCACACTTTAATGATGCCTGTGTGTGATAGCAGAACAATTTGTAGGTTGTCTCTTCTACAGATCTGGCCTAAGGACATTGAATCTTTGCGCTTTCCATACGCTGTAAAAAACAAAGGGAGGGAGGAGAAGAGAGCATAGCAATGCATGCGTACTCCCTTTAGCTACTGTAGCTTAAATCCTTCCCCCCCTTAGCCAGACATGGCCTAATCAGCAAGCTAATTAGCACTCTTTGTAACTGCATCGGCCTCATGTAACTGATTGCATTAACAACTGCCACACATCAAACAGTCATGTCTCACGCTTGTGCATCTTATTACACATTAAGGACATGCAAGGTTAAGGCCAGACTTTGAGATGGAATCAAATGAGAAATATTATCTGCCCCAGCTGGTGGGCAAATCATTCCCCCCCTCTGTTCCATCCATATTTTACAGATTTAATGAATTACTGTCGGCGTTGTGCTCGGCCATAGTTATGTTCTTCTGTTTAAGTGACCCAATAAGTTAACATGAGTGAAACTGTATTGTGTGTCCACATTCATGACAAAATGTATTTTTTTCTATCTGCAAGACAGAGGATGAGGAAATGACCTGCGACGTTATTTTATCTTAGATTATAGTGTTGTAAGTAATGAAAAGTTATATATATATATATATATATAAAGTATATAAGTACTGATCAGTGTTGCTGCCAGGTGATTCATTTGTACAACACATCAATACAATTGACCTATGACATCGCCTATGAATGGGCCGTTTTTCCCCATCCAGATCAATGGGTTTTAATCGACCCATATAGTCTACTATCCACAATTACATCTTAATGAAGTGATAATCAAGCCCCGTCTGTTTGTTTTGGTCTTTTTAGCTGTATTTTACATGCATTGTGTGACATGGCTATTGTGTGGCTTTTAAATCTAAAATGTATTGTATTTCTTTTCATTGTTTACAGAAGAAGCAGAGGACTAAAGAGCTGTCCCAACTATTCCACTCTTACAACCCCTATGACCACAAGGTAAGACATCTGGCAGTGTTCCTGGATCACATCGCTGCTTTATGTTTTAGTTTTGCCCTTTAAAATGTGCTGCTCTTTAATTTCCTCTGTACATCTGCCTATTCCTTAACGGGGAGAGTGCTGAGTATTGAGCCTCATTCGCCTCTCAACCAGAAGCCTTCACTTGACATCAAAAGTAGTTATAGGTCGCAATCATCACATTGACTTTATAGCTTTGATGAGTTTGTCTCCTCCTCAAGATGGACACCGCTTGTCAGCAATCTAGTTGATGAGGACAGCTCAAGTGTTTGTTCCTGATTACATTGTGACCGTGTGTGTGTGGGAGAGATTGAATTCTGAAGTCAGATATAAATCTCCTCAACAGTATGTATGTGTATGTATTTGTGTGTGTATAGGCTCATCCATTATGAGGTTAACATCTGACAGCAGACTCAACATGCCTCTCTTCAGGCATTCTTATGATGATGAGACCCTTGTGACAGCTGTGTGTGTGTGTGTGTGTGTGTGTGCTGTGTTCTTATATAAAGATGTCCTTCTGATGACAAGCCCATGACAACAGCTGTCACCACATTTTTCTGCTGTCATGAAAAAGAGAAATTGTATTTTGACACATTAGACTTTTATGGGTTCTTCTTTATGGCTAAATATATTTCCCACCTTGCTCTTTTTTTGACTGTGATCACAATGTCTGAGTAGTGGTGTGAATAGTAGTGATTACTTGCGTATCATAATAAAGTAGAATAGTGTACATGGATGGTGGCGGCTTCCTACTGCAGTGTAAATGTTGTGAACATGTGCCTTGCAGTTGTCATGTTCTGCCATTTAGCAAAGTTTTAGCTTGGCCAAGTTTTTTTTTTCCTGTTTTTTTCTTTATTTTTAGATTATACCTCAAGAGGAGTTTGTGCCTTTGGTGCTGTTGTTACATGTTACACACTAATTAAAAGGATATGAGAGTGATCACGTTTTCACTGTGGCAGGCAGGGGCCTTTGCCTCCCACACACACACACAGTAGTAATAGCACACATGGAACACACATGCACACGAACAGGGAATGTGAATTAAGTAAAGTTAGCAGTGAATATCTTTATCATGTTTGCATCTAAATCAGTTAGTTAGTATTTGTGAACATGCTTTCTCCTCCAGTACGATTCCCAGCAGAATATCTAAATTGACTGTGAGAAAGTGAACTGTACTGAGCCCGCTTTGTTGAGCTTCTCCAACTGAACAATCTGTTCTTTTATACATTTATGTACTCAGTGCTTCGTGTGTTTTTGTCAACATGCTGATTCATGAACAATTAGATTGTTCATGTCCAACCAAGCCCAAGAAGTAGTCCAGTTTTTAGGTATAGCCTCGAGTATGTCTCTGAATGTGTTGCACATTACAAACTGCTTCACAAACCCTGAAAAGACAATTGCATATAGCCACCAAAAACAGTAATGTTGTCAAGGTACACAAAACATATCAGTAGTAATTAAATCTGTATATGTACCTCAGTGAAGTGACAAGAGACAGAGTGTATTACTAAAACACCATTGTCTCGCCAGTTGTTAGACCTCTTAATTCCCTCTGAGCCAGTGTGCAGCTTGAGATCCTCAGAGACGAAGCCCCGTCCATCCCAAAGTTAAGGCTATCGATGGAACATGGCCGCAGTCAGAGCCCCAGACCTTATGACATGCCCTCTTATCAAAAACAATATTTAAAATCTAGTCATAAAGAAATGCATACATGCGTTCTTTCAAATGTATTAAACTTTTTTCACCTGTATTCAGCACATTGCAATCTGTTTTTTCTATGCTGTAGAGCACGTTATTGTTATAGCCATGTTAAAATCTAAAATGCAAATTAGTTGGATAACAAAATTGCTACTGATTTAAAAAAAAAAAAAAAAAAAAAAAAAAAAAAGGATTACTCTGCTTTGATATGCCACCTGACATCATATGTGTTTAATTCCCAGCAGCGTAAAATTTCCACTAACTTTATAACCTATAAAGTGTGTCAAAAGCAATACCACCATATCAATGGGGTGTATATACATATAGTATGGTATCTGATAGCCCTTATACATAAATATTTTGAACATGTCAAGCAGCTTTCTTGTAAATTTGCCGTGTAGCACAACTTACACCCGTGTTCCTTAAAGGTATTTTTCTTTTTCCATAGATTGTGTAGATGTGCAAATAAATCCCCTCGCATTACAAACCCAGATAGCTGTGAGATATGATTTAATGATAATACATCTAATGTCAAGCATGCTTCCACCCAGATAAACCACATTTCTTCCTCTCCTTGCCCCCATGTCCACACACCGTGGAAATGTTGAGGCAGATCAGCTCGTATTAAGCCCATCTAGCCGTTAGATAGAAATAAATGAAGTCTGATAACGTCCCTCATTTTACCTTAAGTTCCCTTGGGTGTCTGGTCTTTCAGCTTACGGTCTATGTAAAGACATTATGTGTTTACTAACACGTGTGTGGGTGAGGGAGAAAAATAAATAAAGACAGAGGGAGAAAGTGCATAGATGTAGAGGGAAGGTAGACATTTTTACAGCCATTATTGTTAATATGCATCCTTCTTTAGGTTTGAAAAGGTCATTAATAAAGACTGAGTAAGGGGGATGGGGGGGGGTTAGGTAGGCTTTATTGCCCCTTAGCTCCAGGCTACCAACCAAATGAAACAATGTTTTTAATTGAACTAATTGTTTTAGTTTTTTTGTCCCATGCTTGTTTCTTAATCTCCCGTGGCTAGCTCTGAATCACAAATGTGAGAAATGGCTCGTTAAAACGCAAATGACAATGGGCTGTCTATTCAATTACATATTGTGTTTTCTTCTTTCTCCGTCTTCCTTTCTTTCACTTTATCCCTCTATATTAAACAGTGTTGTAACTATAAACATGTCTGTTCATTTATATATAGACAATTGTACCCATCCTGTGTGTGTGTGTGTGTGTGTGTGTGTGTGTGTGTGTGTGTGTGTGT